AGAAAGAAAGAAAGAAAGAAAGAAAGAAAGAAAGAAAGAAAGAAAGAAAGAAAGAAAGAAAGAAGAAGAAAGAAAGAAAGAAAGAAAGAAAGAAGAAGAAGAAAGAAAGAAAGAAAGAAAGAAAGAAAGAGAAGAGAAAGAGAGAGAGAAAGAGAGAGAGAAAGAAGGAAGGAAGAAAGAAAGAAAGAAGAAAAAGAAAGAAAGAAAGAAAGAAAGAAAGAAAGAGAGAAAGAAAGAAAGAAAGAAAGAGAGAGAAAGAGAGAGAGAAAGAGAGAGAGAAAGAGAGAGAGAAAGAGAGAGAGAAAGAGAGAGAGAGAGAAAGAGAGAGAGAGAGAAAGAGAGAGAGAGAAAGAAAGAAAGAAAGAAAGAAAGAAAGAAAGAAAGAAAGAAAGGAAGGAAGGAAGGAAGGAAGGAAGGAAGGAAGGAAGGAAGGAAGGAAGGAAGGAAGGAAGGAAGGAAGGGAAAGAAAAAGAAGAAAGAAAGAAAGAAAGAAAGAAAGAAAGAAAGAAAGAAAGAAAGAAAGAAAGAAAGAAAGAAAGAAAGAAAGAAAGGAAGGAAGGAAGGAAGAAAGGAAGGAAGGAAGAAAGCAAAGAAAGAAAAGAACCTACATGTACAAAAATATTTTTAGCAGCCCTTTTCTGGGGATAAAGAATTAGAAATTGAGAGAATGCTCATTAGTTGGGGAATGGCTGAACAAGTTGTAGTAGTACGTGATTATGATGGAACACTATTGTACTGTAAGAAATGATGAGAAGAATGCTCTCAGGAAAACCTGGAAAGACTTGCAGGGGCTGATGCAAAGTGAAATGTACTGTGTACAAAGTAACAGCAATATTGTAAGATGATCAGCTGTGAATGACCTAGCTATTCTCAGCAACACAACAATCCAAGCCAACTCTGAAGGACTTATGATGAAAAATGCTATCCATCCCCAGACAAAGAATTGAAGTATCTGAATACAGACTGAAGCATACTTTTATTTTACTCTATTTTTCTCGAGGTTTTTTGTCTACGTTTTCTTTCACATGACTAACATGGATATGTTTTACGTGACTGCACATGTATAACCTATATCAAGTTGCTTGCCTTCTCAATAAGGCAGGGGTGGGGAGAGAGGAAGACAGAGAATTTGGAACTCAAAGCTTTAAAAACAAATGTTAAAAATTGTTTTTACATGTAACCGGGGAAAAATAAAATACTAAATAAATTTTTTAAAAAAGAAGAAGAAGAAGAGGTCCCAGGATAGCCTATCTAGGGGAACACTTGTGCTCAGTAAGCATGCTCTGGATGAAGATTCAGTAAAGGAAACTGAAAAAGAATAGATTGTTGGAAGAAAGCACTGTAACACAAACCTAAAAGAGAGAATACCTAGGTCAAAAAGGACAGGGACTGAGAAAATGGGCAATTAAGAAATCACTGGTAACTCTGGAAAGAAATTTGATGATGCAGTTGTTGAATGAAGTTAAAGGTTAAAGGCGAGACTGCAGATGTTTTAGAAGAGAGCAAGAGGAGAAGAAGAGAGACCACCAAGTATAACTGGCTTTCTCAATAAGTTTAGTTTTGAAAGGGAGGAAAGACAGCATGAGAGCCAGTGGCGATGGTCAAATCAAGTGAGGGTTTTTTCAGGATGGGGGAAATATGGACAAGTTTTTGGGCAATGGGGAAGTAGCTAGTAAATAGGGAGGGACCAAAGATTAACGAAAAAGTTAGGATGATGGGGGGATAATCCACTGGAGAAGTCAGGATGGCCCAGGATCAAGGGTGCTCGTAGAAGACACATACTTTGGCAAGGAGCAGGCCCACTTGTGCATGGCAGATAAAAACAGACATGAAAAATTTTATGGACATAAAAATGACATGAAGAGGAAGACAGAAGGGGGAGTTATCAGCAAATTAGCCTCAAATTAGCGTGATTAGTTTTGGCTAAGTTCAGTTCTGGTCTCTGTTTTCCATTTTATATCTTCCTACTAATTAATCCTTTAATGTAGGAGGATTTTTTAAGTAACACTTGAGTTTATTTTTCTTCATTACAATCCCTTTGGAGGGCATGTATGACTACAAAAAAGTCTTGTCATGTTACATACTTGTCATCCTACAAGATGAAATGAACGCTGAAATCACACCTCTCAGACCATTTCCTTCCACCACTGTAAGACTTCATCATGCCCCTGGTGAGGTAACTATTCCCCAACCCTACCCCTCCTTCCCCTGCTTTTTATGTGTTGTCTCCACAAATTGGAGTGTGAGTTCCTTGAGGGCCAGGATTATCTTATATGTATCTCCAGCATTTAGCATAGGGCTTGGCACAAAGTATGGGCTAAATCAATGCTTTTTGACTACTGACTTCTGAAAACAATAATTAAGCATTACTTTTACATACATGATTGTCCCCATGCCTAGAATGTTATCCCTCCTCAATACCTCTTGACTGTCACTCGTTATTCTCATGACTCACTCTCTATGGAAGGCATTTTTTATCTCCTGCCTTGGTCAATTGAGCCTTCCCCTCTAAGGTGACCTTCCCTCTACTCTGTCTATATCTTGCAAATACCTCCTCATTTACATGCTGTCTCCCCTATTAGAATGAAAGCTCCTTGAAAGTAAAAACCATTTCTGCCTTTCTTTCTATAACCAGCAAATTGTCAAGGATGATAAAAGATGGGAATGGTCAATGTTGAAAGAGCTGTGAGAAACTAGGCACTTTGGCATATTGTTGATGGAGTTGTGAATCAAAACAATCATTGTGTAAAGCAATTTAAAACTATGCAAATAAATGACCTAGTAATTTCACAAGTAGCCATATCCCAAGGAAGTCATTGATTGGAAGATAGTCTACATCTAAATCTTTATAACACATCTAAACATTTATAGCAACACTTTTTTGTGGTAGTAAAGAATTAGACACAAAGTATACGTTCATCACTTTAAGAAAGCCTAAGCAAATTGTGGTACATAAATGTAATTAAATATTACCATGCTATAAGAAGTGATGAATACAGAGGAAGATTTACAGGGTGGAGTAAGCAGAGCAAAGAAAACAATATACACGATGACTGTGTCAATGTAAATTATGAAGAATAATTCACACCTTGAAACAAGTGATATAAGAGGACACTCCCAATGCATCTCTTTGTAGAAGTGGGAGGTCTGTACAGGTTTCTACACTGCAAATATTTTCAGACTTTTTCAATATATTGATCGATTATGCTGATTTTTTTCCTATTTCATCCCTTTTTTGGCCTTGAAAAATATTATTTCTTATAAGCGATGGCTCTTTGGGAAGGAAAGTGTGAAGGATATTGGGGAAAATTATGGTGATATTAAAAAAAGACATTAATGAAAACTAGTTTGAGGGAGAAAAGAATGCTAATTAAGTTCCTTGAGAGCAGCGAATGCTTTTGCGTTTTTGCCATTCTTTGTATCCTCTGAGTAGAGCTCAGCATCTGGCACACAGTAGGCACTTAATGAAAGCTTGTTGATTGAAATCCCACTTTAAGGTTTACAAGATACCTTAGGAGAGGACATCATAGCTTCAAGAAGTTAAGTATGACCATGGGAGAGTCCCTTAAAGTCTTTGACCTTCACTTGCCTCATCTATAAAATGGGACAATCATCTCTGCCACATCTCCCTCCACCTACAGCTCTATGTAATGTTCAAATGAAACAATGCTTGTAAGGCACTGTGTCTACAGAACAACTATTACTTGTAGTACATGATATTCCCCAGTACTCCAGGTCACACAGCTATGCAACAGCAGAGTAAGGCTGGATCATCTGAGAAGCCCACCAATATTACCAAGATGGGAAAAGAACAAAGACTGAAGCCTCTTGCATGTTGCTTCTTTGGAGCAGTTTTAGAATAAAACAGGGACAAGAATCATACAGGATGAGACCTGATTCAGATTTAATTTGCCTCCATGGAGAGTTATTGAATCCAGCAGGGTCTCAGGCTCCCATGATGATGAAATGAAAAATCTACCGAGATCCCCATTTGTCCAATTTTTAAGGAAACGAAAAGGATCTCTGTAGATCAAAATGGAGAATAGGTTTACTATTTTTATGGATCTTTGTACGCTAATGAAGCTCTAAAATTTACACCAAAGGTAGTAGCAAACATTTTTTCAATAGGGTAACAACAATTAGGTTATAAAAATATTCACAGTAATTTCATCCAATAATTACACACAGAGCCCAAAATCTTGAGATCTCACTTTTCACTACTTTATAACACTGTATACTCTTTATAGTAAAAAGAACTATATTGTCATTGACATAATGAAGACTAAAAAGTACTTAAGAAATCTAGTTAAATATGAGTTTCTCCATTCTTCCAAATATCTTTTGCAAAATTACTAACCTAAATTCTGATGTTTTCATATTTACACCTATACTTGTAGATAGAGGATCATGCTGTTTTTCTAGGTGAATGTTGTAGTAAAGACTATAAAATTATTTTGTTATTTATATATTGCAGCTAAGGAGAGAGAAATGAGGCAAATTACTGTCTTTGAGCTGGTAAAATTTTAGAAACATTCATCATTTCACTGCCTACATTTTATACTGGCAACAAGGAGTTCGTGAATATTTTCTGATCAACAATCTGAAAGATTACCTAAAAAATGACTACTAAATATTAAATAAAATTAAATATGGATAGCTTCTCTACAGTGGCTGACATATGAAAAAGAACAATGAGTAAAGTAAAGTTAGCTTGGGCTATACACGCCGAAAAGGCAGGAAGTACTATTTAGCAGATTTAAAACAAGTCACCTTTAGCTGAAAACAGCTGTGTCTATAGTGTAAAAAGCCAACTTTTGAAAAGGAAAGAGATAATTATCAAGATACAGAAATTACAATAGAACTTTCTAGAAAAAAGTTATATTAAACTTGTTCTTTTAAAATAAATGTTCAGTTATGATACAAGTTCTAGCATTTGTGTTTCAGGAACAAATTTGGACTTTCTTAAAATAATCAACTATACAAGGAAACAGTTAACTCACCTGCCCTTGCTGTGGTGCTAAATAATTAATCACTTCGTTGACCATCACTGGTATATGTAATTGTTTCACAGTTTCATGATTTCCACTTTGAGAATCATGCATTTCCTGATCTTTGGAAACACTTGCATGCTCTCCACTTTCACGTTCATGGTACTTGTTGACTGAAGAATGCATTTCTTTTGGGCGTCTGCCTATATTAAATATGCCAGTTTCAAAACTGTATGGGAAGAAACCTTTGCAGATTCTGCTAAGACACTGGTATCGAAGCATATTGAAAGCTCATATGATCTGGAAGAAAAAAAAATCTACATTATTTTTTAAACTTGAACAATATTTGCAAAAGAAAGCTAAATTCAGAATTCTGCCAAGTACTATACCTTCAGAGCATACTAAAAACTATCAAGAAAAACTATTACTTCAGAAACTTAGTCATCATTCATTTGAACATCTTAACCAAGAAACATTGAGTCTTCTAACATGGAGCAATGAGCCTGAACAAAACCTAGAAAGAGCCTAAAAATGCAAGTGCTCACATATCTGATAAGCCATCAAAACTGTGAGAGATTTTCTAACAATTAAAGATCTGAAAATTACTTGCCAATCATTAGTCTTCTGCAGAATAGTTTTGGAATGTTAATCAAGTCTAAAATATGAGTATAAAGTAGTTGAGTGCAATAGCACAAGAAATATGTTTTAAGAAAGGTGCTGTCTATAACAGAAATCGATTCCTAGTGGAAGAAAAAAAGATGGCCAGGTTCAACAAGTCTTTCAGTCTGTAAACAGAATTCTAATTGTAGATGTATTTTTTACCCTGGTCATTATCATGTTACCATCCTTGATTTAAAACATTTATTTGAGAAATGCTAAATTTTGTACACTTATCACTTAAAATTAAGGTGGTTTTTTTTGCTTTTTTTGTTTTTTTTTAATCTGGAGGAAGCTACCTTGTTTATTTGCAAAGACCAATTTTATTTTAAAAGACCAACAACTCCTATCATGTCAATATTAATGGATTGTACTTTTAAAGTCTTTGACTCATTTCTTTTTATAATTACATTTATACATCAATATTTCACTAATTGCATTTATTATAAATTAAATAAGTGACACATTTTGAAATACAAAGTAGCAAAATTAAATGGTGAATGAGTCTTATCCTCATTAATTGGTGCCTTCCTTGCCACCTACAAACACTTTCTCTATTGTTTAAAAAATGTTTACATGGCACTACTACCCTCTCTTCTCTTCTCCCTTTCAGAACCAAACTTCTAGATAAAGCTTCCTTCCATCTTTCCACTTTTTCACAGACAACTTACTCCTCAACTTCTTTCAAACTTAGATTCATGTTTTCTTACATTTGTTCATTTTTCCTTTTTAGTCTGCAGATTATAGCTTCACAGGACAAAAATATGTTAGGATAAAAAAATACAACTGAGATAGAATATATATATATAAAAAGAATATCTCCTAGATAAAATTCTTCTGCATAACTATTTTGCCAAATGATATTAAACAACATTTAAGGTATCATCCCTCATTTTCCTAAAAATAATAATTACCTAGCTAATCATCACTCCAAAACACAATATTTCAGGAACTTTTTTATTTCAGCAGAAACAGCCAAATCAGAAGAGGAAGTAAAAATTCCTAAAATACAATTTGTGGGACTTGAACCTTTCAACAAGAATACAGAAACCACCCTACTTCTAAAACACACCAAGAAGACTCAAAATCTTGCCTAAAAATGTTCCTCCTTTCAGAAGATAAAATGATAGATATTGAAAAGGCAATCCTGTAAAATCTGCAAAAATATAAACATGAAAAAATGTGGTACCGCTTAACAAGTAACCTGGGGAAAAGATTTAATTTAGCTATCTCCAAAGAGAAACAAATCTAAACAACAAGCTGCCGGATATAAAGATAATAGGTCATTCAAGTTAAAAAAAAAACTACTGCAAACATTGCCAGTAAACACTAACAGAGTCAACAAAGTAACAGTGAAAACTGGTAAGGTTGTTTATCCCTTGGAGAGGTAAAGGGATGACAATTTAAACATAAAATAATGCCTTCTATTTTCCAGAAAGTTTTTTGACAATACCAACTTTCCTACCTGACAATAAAACTCCAACCAAACTCTCCCATTTAATACTCTGTATATTCAAACCTACATACACACATACTCAGAATCATCCCAGGATCTCAGAGGTGAAAGTGACTACAAAGGCATGTAGTCCATACTATATCTGAGAAAGAATGACACACCCACCCCACCAGCAATCATCTAATTTTTGGTTAGGAAATTCTTACATGTCTTACCTTCAAAAATAGGAATATTCTATTTAGACAATTAAGCAGTCAAGAATGTTTGGTTTTGCTCCATTGGCCAAAGTATGCATGTGAATAAAGTGGCAGATTCCATTCATACAGGTTTTAGTTTAAAAAAAAAAACCAACCAAAAACAGGGAACCCCAAGTTCAATGTTGGAATCAAACTAAGAGCCCACAGTAATGGAGAAAATAAAAATAAATGGAAGAAATATTGGAAATTTTGGAAAAGCAGCACTAACATTTCACTGGCCTTTGCAATGCTTTCCAAAAAAATCAGATTTTGTGAAGTCACTGAACTATGCCCTAAGCACAGAGCTAAAAGGTATTATCATAGAAAGACTGCGGGAAAAAATATAGAAACAAATAGGAGAGAGGGCAATCTTACCTGGGAAAGGTTTTTTTCTGTTTGTTTGTTTTGCATATATGACTGATACATTTTAAAGTAGCCAGAACTGAATAGTTCTGCCAAAAATTTCACTGGGACACCTAAATTGCTCAGTTGTCATATAGTTCCTTGTCTCAACAGAAACGGGCGATTGTCCATTAGAACCAGAGACAAGAGTCCTACACCCGAAGGAAGACCTCAAATAAAATCTTGTTTTAGACTAGTTGTGTGATACCTAGCAAGTCACTAATCGGCTCTGCTTTGCCTCGGTTTCCTCACCTGTAAAATGGGGATGGATAGTAGCACCTACCTCTCAGGATTGTTGTGGAAATTAAATGTGCAAAGTGCTTTGCAAATCTTAAAGCGCTCTATACATGTTACTATCATCATTATCATTAAATGTGAGCTATACATGGTGACTTTCCTGAAAACCTTTCCAAAACTTGCGCCTTGCTGCTGCTCTTCCCCGGCCTTTTGGCTTCATTTGACTTATTTCCCTTTCTCTACCACAGACGCCTGCAGGGCACCCAGCTACCACCCACCCTGGGGGAACATGAAGAATGGACTCAGTTCTTTTAACGCCAGGCGGAAACGAGGCTGAAAGGACTTTCAGTGACTGCGGCGGTGAAAGTGACTCGCAGGCCGTGGCCAGCCCGGGGAGCCGGCCCTTCCTCCTCCCGGTCTCGGGCTCGCCCCGGCTGCGGGTCCGGGGGAAGGGCTTCCCCTGGGGGAGGGTGGGAAGCCTCGCCAGCCGCGGCCTTCCTCACCTGGGTCGGACACGAGGGCTTATTTCCAGCTAGGTCTTTAACTGGCCTCTGCTCGGGCCCTGAAGGCCGAGCCCGGACCCTGAAGGCCGAGCCCGGACCGAGCACAGAGCGAGCAGAGCGGCCCCCCGACGTGGCCCGCCCGGAGGGGAAGACGCCGAGGACGGACGCGCGGGCCCGGCTCCCCCGGCAACTAGCCGCGTCGCCTTTGGTTCCGGGGGCGCGAAGCCGCGTCTCCTCCTGGTGCGGGGCGCCGGAGCGGAGGGCTGCCGCGCGGAGCGAGCCGAGGTCCCGGGCCAAAGCCGGGCGCTCGGTAACCTGACAAAGGGCGCCCTCGCAGTCCTTTCATAGGTTTTTGTACCACTGCCAAATCTGAAGGGATCCCGGCTGAGGACAAAAGGAGATGACAATAACAGTAGCTTCTGGACTCTGAAAACTATATTAATGTGAGGAGAGTTGAGAGGTGAAAAGTCTCCCAGCTTGGCCATCCTCCTTTGACCACATCATTTGGCTCAACACTGCACCAAATCCTGGCGAGAAAAACAGACCCAGACCCCGGCAATCTGTCAAAAATTAACAGATTCAGAGCATGATCCTATGACTCTGACACGTTACTTTTTAAAGCCGGCCAGCGCAACTGACGCACACACAAAAAAAGGATAAAGACGCACCAGCTTCCAGGCCAAACTATTTCAATATTGCCCCTGCCAAATTCTAGCAAACTCCTCATTTAATTTCAAAGTATCACAAAACCAAATGACCCATCCATGAATGGCTGGTTAGTGCAAGTGCAAGAAAATGATTTTTAGGATTTTCTCCCATAACGTCCAAGCGTTAGAAAATGGGTTTCAGTAGACATGTTTAAAAATACTTATTTAATCTCTTATTTCCACACACCTTGCTTTCTCATTTTGGCCTGTTGACTTCCTTCAAGTCCTAGCCAAAATTCCACCCTCTATAAGGAGGCTTTAATTTCCCTGGATGCCACAATCTTCCCTCTATCGATTATCTCCAATTTGTCATATACATATCTTGTTTGTATATAATTGGTTTTATGTTGTCTCTTCCATTAGACTGGGAGCTCCTTGAGAGTAGGGGCTGTCAGTAATCTTTTTTTGTATGCCCAGCATTTAGGTCAGTGCTTGGCAGGTAGTGTTTAAAAATGCTTGTTGACTGACAACTTGAATCAGGCTTGGTTTTATAGTGGCAAGGAACGTAACCTAAATGAAGGAATCAATTCACAAAATTTAATACAACAGTAAGAATGGCTCACAGTTCTATAGCATATTAAGGCTTACAAAGCACTTCACACATTATTTCACTTGCATAGCAGGCCAGTATTATTAGGGTGTACTGTGTATACAAGTGTATTGTACACGTACAAAAAAGCCATCCTTTTCTGATGATTAATATTAATTTTTATTTAATTTCTCTATTTATTAATACTTTGAGTTAGCTAGATTTGGGTTTAAATTCTGCATGACCAAGGGCAATTGTCTAGTCCTGACCTGCTCTCCCACACTCAATTCTGATTATAACTTAGAAAAGTTACTCATCTGCACTTGTGGCAAGTTTGGTGAAATCACAGGGGGCAGATCAAGAAGAAAAACAATTTTAATGTGTGTTTTATTAGGACACATTTGCTCTATGTAGGAAAAAAAATCCTAATAAAAGTCTTTTATTCATATGGCTTTATCCATTTTGTGGCTGTTTTGCTACTTATACTCCCTAATTAACAAATATAAAAGTCTTAATGAACAAGAGGAAAGAGTGCCTGTTTTGCCACCCCAATAGTAGAAAAAGTATTGTTAAAAAATCAAGTAACACAGAAAAGGATGGCTGTTTGGCTGCTAACATGCCCTGATAACAAATACAAAAATATTAATAAAGAGGAAAGGATGACTGTTTGGATATTTATAACCCCAATTTTAAAAAAGTACTAATAAATAGAACATGTGACAAGCCAGATCAAGTGACCAATAAAAAGCACTTTTTTTCCCAATGAAGATGTCACAGAAAGGAAATGCTTCCCAGTTGTGCCCCCTTTCACAGTTCACAAAATTCTTACAAGTTTGTAAGAACAATGAATTTGCATAGCACCCTTTCAGCCCCACTGGCCTAGTGCTTAGGGAACCGCTTCAAACTCACTGAGTTAATTTTTAATTTTTATGGTTTTTCTTAATGAGTTTAGGTTTATGAGGCCAGCTCGGATCACGAAGTAAACAGCTGGAGAGGCCAGGCCTGGGGAGGCGCCCGCTCAGGCGGAGCCCCAGTCAGTCAATAAGCATTTATTTATTGAGCACTTGCAGTTGGCCAGGTAAAAGACAGGCCCTGCCTTCCGGAGGCTTACAGTCTGATGAGCAGCCTAAGCGCACACAACTGCGTACAAACAAATCAAAGACGGGATGAATGGGCCCTTGAGGGTGACAGGGAGCCAGGCCGGAGGCCTTCAGCGGCAGGAGGCCCCAGCGATTGCAGCCCCCCGACTCCTCGCTGGGGGATGGAGGAGCTTTCCCTCAGCTCTAGCTGCTGCTCCTCCAACGGCCACCACCAGGCCTGCCCAACCGCCGCCGTTGCCACGGCGACGCGAGGGGCCGACGGGCTCCCGCACGGGCCATTCCACCTCGAGTGCGGGCGCGCTCGGCTTCGCTCGGCGGGCGTGGTGACGTCATGAGGACGGCAGCCAATGACGGGCTCCGGGGAAGAGACAGGCGTGCGTTTGAATCTGGAGTGCGGAGCGGGCCCATGTCGGCAGCCGGCGCGGCGACTGAAGCGACGGAGTCGGGCGCGGCTTCGGGGAGCACGGGCGGCAGTGGGGTGAGTGAGGGCGGGGAGCGGAGAGGCCAGGGCTGGGCCGCTTCCCTCCCGGTGCCACGACTGATCCTGCGGAGGGAGCGCGCAGAACCTTCCGGCCGCGGGCGAGGACCCCAGGCCGCCTTCACTCTAGTGGGGCTGGGGGCGGGGCCCTCGGATTCAAAACATACGCCCTCAGGCAGGGAAAAGTGCCAATACCCGAGATGGGGGTGTCTCAGGAAAGCCCCCCACAAACACACCTTGTAGTCAGTTACCTGGTAAAGGCTTCGCTTGGGGATCCGAGTTCAAGTTCTGCTCTCAACCCTGGTTTGTTCATATCCCAAATGGAGGCGGTAACAGCCCCTCCCTCACTGGTGGGTTTGAGGATCTGAGGAGGGGCTGCAGAGAAATGAGTCCTTATTGGAGGAAGGTAGTGAGAAGGGAAGACCATTTGAGGATCTGGTGAGATCAAATTTTAAAGCGCTCTGCACAGTTCCCTGCTTATAGTAGGTGCTAAATAAATGCTTGTTCTCTTTCCCCATTGGTGCTAAGAGAGCTGGCGCCAATGCCATGGAACAGCCAGCCGGAAGTTTTAACTGAGAGTGCATATTGTACAGAATAAAGCATTGTGCGTCTGCCTATATTCTATAATATTTGCAATAATAGGCACTTATTAAGTGTGTACTGCATGACAGGCGCAGTGCAAAGTGCCTAATCACTGAGGTTTCAAATGCAAGTAAGCAAGGCATTCTCTACCCTCAAGGAGCTTACATTCTAACATTACGATAATAATAATAATAGCTAATAAGAACGGGCACTAATATATACATTCTAATATGCCTTATTCAGCCAGTGCTTATTAAGTGCTTAATATGTGAAATGTTCTGTAGATATAGAAAGGAAACAGACCGTTCCCTCAAGAAGCTTACATTTTTCTAGAGAGTGTAATAATATGATTATAGTTTACAGTTATCTGTTTAAATATTGCCAAAGCACTTTATCTCCATTATCCTAATTGAACCGTCGCAGCAGCTTTGTAAAGTTAGTGTTAATAGGCATTCATACGCCCATCTGACAGATGAGGAAAGGAAGGCTCACTCACATAGATGATAAGTCAGTTTCCATTATCTATTTGTGAGTGTGTTTTTTTTTAATTTCTCTTGTTGGATGTGGGGCATCCCAGAATAGAGGAGTTTTCTGTCTCAGGTGCTGGTGTGTTAGTATTCACAACATTTCTTGTTGATCCAAGTGCAAGTTTGGGGGCAGGAGCAGGTGCGAGCAAAGGCTTACTGTGGGCCTGTGCACTCTTGCCTGCAACTCTTAACCTTGCTTGTCTTCCTGGAGCAACTTTCACTGATGTATGTGATGTTTGATCCTCTCTGGAGTTTATCTGAGAAACGAGATGGGAATGCCTTGCAATGTTATTATTAAAAATGGATTTTTAAGCCTTTGAAAAAGTGTAGCTTACATTTTACAAAGCCCTTTCGTCATGTCAACCAAATGAGGTATATAATGTCAGCGTTAAGCAGGGTGTCCCAAAAGTCTTAGGGTAATTTTAAACTCTGGTAGTTTTGAGTCGGTCTGTGTCATCATTCCCATGTTACAGATGAGGAGCCTGACGTTCACTTAAAGAGATCGTGTGAGTTGGGCTGTGATGATACCGTGGTAGCTTGTACTTCCATAGATAGTACCGGGCTCATGGCAGCCTTTCCAGGTAAAAGGGTTACCATCCCTATTTCACTCAAGAGGTGATTTACCCACAATTGCTTGGCCAGCAAGTTTGTAGGCTAAGGTGAACACTCCTCTGCTGAGTCCATATGCTGCACTCTGTCTATAAGGCCATGCTAATAGTGGCAAAAGAGGCATTCAGACACAGCGTTTGGGTTTGGCGTTGACTTGGTTCTTTGTTTTTGGGGGGGGTTGTTTGTTTTCTGTTTTTTTGGAATATGGAGAGAGAGAACCCTATGCTCAGAGGATGAGGGAAGAATCAAGATCATAATTGGTTTGCTGAATGGAGCGCCAGGCCTGGAGTAAGAAAGACCTGGGTTAAATCCAGCCTCTGACATTCACTAGCTATGTCACAGAGCAAGTTTCTTAAATTCTGTCTGCCTCAGTCTCCTCATCTGCACAGTGGGAATAAGTTGTTATAAGTCTCCAATGAGATAATGATGTAAAGTATTTAGCACAGTGCCTGGCATGTAATAAGTGATGCATAAATGTTAGCTAATATTATTATTATTATTATTATTATCATCATAACTTTTGACCTGGAAGAGATTTCGAAAGTCATCTAGTTCCCAACCCCCTCCTTTTCTGGATGAGGAATTGGAATCTGTGATGGATGACATGACTTCCCCAAGGTCACACAGCAAGAAGCAGAG